CCACAAACACAACCACACACCCTCTCAGAACCATTCACGGCCATAAATGGAAAATCAACCACCTATGGTTAGTTTTCTTAATTTTATTTTGAAAATTTTGTATTATTATTAGTATATAAATATAAATTTTAATATATATTCTCTTTAATTTTATTGCAATCCCAACAAGCTGATTCTAATTATTGTAATCCTAACTCAAAAACTTTTTATTGCTAATGGTTTCAAATTAACACTTTTTCTGGTTCTAAGTGGAGGTGGCTATCCCGACTCATTCTTATGAATGGGTTGATTCTGATTATGTTGTACATCTAGCGGGTAAAATAAAAAAGATTAAATTGAAATGTTGGAATGTTATTGAAATGTTGTAATCATATTTGACACACTAATTGTATATAACAAAATATAATGGCAGATTCTTGTGACCGGCCAGCTTTTTAAAACAAATAATAATATAAATATTATTAGTATATCCAAGGTGGTCTCATGGGTATGTTAATGGCAGATTCTTATGGGTATTTTAATATGCCAGATTCTTTTATATTTGTTCTTTGATTTTTATTGATATAGACAAAGTGATATAGACACTTTGATATTTTTTTATTATTTGTAATATTATTATTTGTTTACAGTTAAACTTGTTAAAATCGGGTATTTTAGTTTTTGAATATGATTTGTTTTGGTGGATATTAGCATTTTCTTGGACATCTCTTATACATTGTGAATTTGTAGTATATAATTTGTTATATAATTCGTATACTTGCTAATAAGTTTGTAAATTAGTTGTATTAATTTCGTATAATTTGTAGTGTATATATATTATGATTTGGGGTTATTATTGTGTATACTTTATAGTTTTTGGGTGAATTAGTATGAATGAGTTGTGATGGTTAATAAGTATAACTTTTACGTGTATTTGTTGTATACATATATGAATGAGTTATTTAGGTATATTATGTTATGTAAGTGGGCGAATTAGTATGAATGAGTTGTGATGGTTAATAAGTATAACTTTTACGTGTATTTGTTGTATACATATATGAATGAGTTGTTTAGGCTACCTGGCCGACCAAAAAATCATGATCGTATACCGTCTAAGGGTGAAGAGAATAAGATATCGATATGTAGTCGTTGCAAGGAGAGTGGTCATACAAGGTTGACCTGTGGAGCACCAATGCCATCACAATCATCTTTTCCTCCACCAAAATATGGATCTTCATCAAAATCCAAAGCTCATATAGTGTAAAGTAAAGGGAAATCAAAATCAAAATTGCAATCTCAATCACAATCACAATCGCCTTTACCTTTTGGGACTATTAACTTAGGTGATTTTTAGATGTAAACGTTGTATTATGTATTCATGATTGTATAACATTTATTATATTAGTACTAATAGAGTAAACAAGAACGTGACAATGGTAACTTTGTATAAAGTAAGAGGGTTGTGTTTACGGTCGTGGATAGAGTAGTTGGTGGGGGTTGCGGTTTTCAAGAGGGTCAAGGGTGGCTGTGAGAGATGGAGGGGGGTCGTCAGAGATGAGGACGAATGTCGCCGGAGAGAGTGATAGATGGAGATGGACTGAGTTGCGATTTAGGGGTTTATGTTATGAGTTGCGATTTAGGGTAGTTTATATATCCAAAACATTTGTGTTGAGAAATTTAAATTCACGTTGCGAATTAGAAAATCGAGTTGCGAATTAGAAAATCGAATTGCGAAAACAAAACTCGTGTTGCGAATTTAAAAATCTAGTTGCGAAAAAGAAATTCGTGTTGCGAAAATGTAAAATTTGAGTTGCGAATTCGACTTCTGTGTTGTGAATTCCAAATTCGAGTTGCGAATTCGAAAACTGTGTTGTGAAATTTGCTTTCGTGTTGCGAATTCGTTGGTTATTTTTGCAAATCCAAAAAAAATTGGTTAAAATCGTATATTACAAGACATTTTGAATCACTCAAGTTTTTTCTCTTAAAAATATAGATTAATGAATGTTTTACCCAAAGATGAGCATATGCCGGATTTTGTTGGATTTTAATCAATTCAACCCGAAAATTATACACCCTCCACTCAATTAACCCAATTCAAAAAAATATACACCTTTTACCCGACCCAAAATAATATATTTATTAAAAATATTATTTTTATTTTTATATAATATAAATAAATATTTAATTAATATATATATTTTTGTAATTATTCTCAAATATATAATGAAAAGATTATATTATTTCAAATCAAATATTTTTTATCCTAAACCCAAACATAACATAACATTTAATAAACCCAACTCAACCCAAACCCAATTTTTCTTTATAAAAAAAACCAACCAAATGAAATCAATTCAGGTCAAAACCCATACCCATCCCTAACTTTAGCATATAAAATTTATTTAACGTTTAAAATTTAATATTTAATTTATAAAAACAAGCGGAAACGAGTCCTTGAAAATCCTTGTAAACAAAACCCTGTATTGAACAGGTACTGTCTGAACTTCACATTGAAACCCAACCCATAAAGCATATAGATCATAACTAGCTTCAATCCAAATATTCAAAATTTCAACTGAATTGTTAATTTTCTTCAACTACGTCTTAAAAATAAAACTAAAAATTGAAAGATCAGATAACAATGTCCAACTAGAGAGTAATAAACGCAACAAACCATATAGCACTTAAAATAAAAGTAACAGCTGCATAAGAGAAGCCTTGATTTTTGCATTACTTGCTCAATCAAAGAGGCTGAAACCCATATCCTGAAACAAACAGGGAATTATGTCAGTAAAGAAAACATGAATAAAGAAATCAAATACCAGTTGTAAATTTGTGTGTAAAATAATCATTACATCATCCGACTCTTCCTTCTCTTCGACCTTCTCCTCTTTCTTGGCCTCGGCAGCCGGTGCAGCATTGCCACCGGAAGTAGGAGCAGCAACAACAGCAGCACCACCACCTGAAGGAACCGAAGCCAATTTCTCCCTTCCAGATGCAATTAGCTCGGTGATATCTTTGCCCTTGACTTGGGACAATAGCAACTCTATCATATCATCATCAGCGTCGGCTCCAACTGCAAAATACATAATAAAAAAGTTAAGCCATTCCTGCCTAAATGCTACTTGGCATTTCAGAATTTGGATTCTCAAATCAAAGTATAAAATTGCATAATACACGCATGTTAAATCAGGACTTGAATTCAAATTTCATGTTTTTATACTTTTGAAGTGTATAATCATATTGAATCATACCAAATCTATATGCATTTTACTTTTATTATTCATAGAAAATGAAATCAAAATCCAATTTCAAGTTTCATGATTTAAAATAATTCTACAGTTTAGTTCCAGGTTCTTAAGTTCCATTACAGTTTTAATACTTTCCTTGTACTATTAGGCTAATATTTACCATTTACAATTGTAGATTTGACTAAATTCAATAAAAATCTAATGAACACATAAGAATAACAAATTAACAAATCATAGATGAATTAAACATAGATCAATGGAGTGAATATCCTTGGATCAAATATAAGAGTTAGAAAATATAGTAAATCGAGATAACAAGAGAGTGAGAAAAATACCAGATCCGATAATATCCTTCAGATCTGCTGCAGAAGGGCTAAGGTTCCCTCCCAATACAGCGAGCAAATAGGAAGCGATCACCTTCATTTTCTACTCGACCAATAAAACCTTAGAGCCAGAAGGGAAATAAGCCGCGGGGAAAGAACGCTAGGGTTTTCAGAGAAAGGAAATGAAGATATATAAATGCTGATGCTGCTAGGGTTTTTACTTGGATAAACTACACAATTAATCCCTAAACTATATTATCATTCCTATTTTGTTCATTCAAGTTTAAAATATTAAATTTAATCACTCAACTTTCAAATTATTTCTATTTTATTCGATATGACTTATTTATTAATATTTTTCTATGACCTATCATTTATTATTATTGGCCTATATGATTAAAATCAAAATAATAAAATTAAAAAACTAAAATCATACTCCATGAACCTTTAGACTCAAATACTAAACTCAAACTCTAAATTTTAAATTACAACCCCTACTCCATCTTCACTCTTCACGATAACACCTCCCATGCATTGTACCTTGTCAAGTGCATGGCTTATCATGTAATTTAAGGGTTATGACTAAGGATTATAAAACTGATAAATAGTTGGATTTTGTTGGTTGGACATTGACAATTAAGAACAATGAAAACGCCAATATTTGTCTAACTTATATTTGAAACTTAGTACCAAGATATTGTTATTGGAGTTACTATCGAGCGAGAAGTATTATCGGCATGTTGTTTGAGTATAACAAGCCTGTTGAGCTTGTCAACATTGCTTGGGGTTTAGGGTTTTTCAAACATAGTTTTTGTTTGATGGTTATGGTTTATTTTAGTTTGGTCTTTAGCCTTATTTTCATGTTGCTTAAAGTTGAAACAGTGAGAGGGAAGGTATGACATTAAGGTGTTATCATTGAGAATGGAAGTTTTAATTTGAAATTTAGGGTTTGAGCTTAAATTTAAGATTTTGATTATGAGGTTTAGGAATTGAGTATAAAATTTATGAAAATGATTTTGGGTTTTTTTATTTATTTTAATCGTATGTGGAAAAAATAATAATAAGATAAGTCATGTCATAAAAATATTAATAAAAGAAGTTAGAGGGACTAAAGTAAGAGTAATTATAGAGTTTAGTGATTAAATTATAAAATGTTAAACGTAAATGACTAAAATAAGAATAAGACAATAGTTGAGTGATGCATGATGTAGTTTACTCTCTTTGTTTTTGTCGATGGGTATCTAATTTATATCGTGGTCGTTCATTTTAATTTAGTGCTATTAAGGAAAATGATCGAAGTCAAAGGGACTAGAGGTCCAAAATAAATAAATGGGTTGAAGCCCATAATCAAGGGCATTTGGGTCATTTAGTTTCTCATAACAAAATCGCGGGAAAACGCTATATCCCTCCCTCCTCCCCCGTTTCAGCCTTCAGTCACCGCCTGAGATTTTGTTCGTAAAATACTCTTCTTATTCTTTTTGAAAGGAAAGTAGAAAACTTCTCTTGAAATAACTAAAAATTAGTCCCTTGTTTTGTTTACCAACTTAGTTATAGGTTGCTAGAGAAACCAAAAACACCACCGCGCAAAATGAATGGCGGAGACAAGCGACGGATGGACCGTCTAGACCTTCGGAGATCGAAGAAGCAGAAGAATCAAATCCGCAGCGCAGAAGAGGAGATCGAGTCCAAGCTTGGCTTTGATCTCTTCTCTGAAGGCGAAAAACGTCTCGGATGGTTACTTACTTTCGCTTCGGTAATACGCCCTCTTCACTGTTTCCAACAATTAAACAAAATGAGATTAAAATTTCATAGTTTTGTTTGCACAAAAATGGATGTCATAATTTTTGAATTTGCAGTCATCTTTGGAGGATTCGGATGCAGGAAAAGTATATAGTTGCGTCGATCTTTATTTTGTTTCTCAGGTAAAAATAAAACTTCTCGTTCGTTGATGAAACTCACTTTGAAAATGTTCATGTTTTGAGCTTAAATTTTAAATTGAAATGTAGGATGGTTCTTGTTTTAAGTCAAAGTTCAAATTCCGACCTTACTTTTACGCAGCTGCAAAGGTCAAATCCGGAGGGGTTGGAAGATTTTAGGCCAATTAGCCTAGTGGGGGATTATATAAAGTTCTTTCTAAGGTCTTAGCTAGAAGATTGAGTTTGTGTATTAATGATATTATTAGTCCGTCTCAATTCGCTTTCATTCCGGGTAGAAACATATTGGACTGTTCGTTTATTGCAAATGAAAGTATTGACTATTGGAGAAAGAAAGGGTTGAAGGGAGTTGTCTTCAAGGTGTATTTCAAGAGAGCATACGATTCGGTTGATTGGTCAATTTTGTTGCAAGTAATGAGCAAAATGAGGTTGGTGACAAGTGGAGGTCTTGGATGTTTCAATGTATGTCAACAACCACGGTTTTGGTTAATGGGTCACCTACGGAGAAATTTAAAACAGCTAGGGGACTAAGACAGGGATGTTCGCTTTCGCCTTTGCTGTTCAATTTGGCTGCGGAGTTGTTGCATTTGTTGTTAACTAAAGCAGTAGAAATGAGACTGTTTTCGGGCTTTGATTTAGCAGTTCAAGACAGGGCATTCAAGTTATCACATCTACAATTCACGGATGATCTTATAATCTTCAGTAAGGGTTCCATCCGTGATTTGAGGAATGTTAGGAGAGTGTTACTAATTTATGAGCTTTTGGTGGGGTTGAAGTTAAATTTAGTTAAAAGTAGGATTTCTGGTATTAATGTTGAGGATGGAGAGTTGGCTACTTGGGCAAATGATATTGGCTGCTCGGTGGGTTATCTTCCATCAGATTATTTAGGCTTACCTTTGGGGCACAGGAGGAACTCGGCTGCTATGTGGGAGCCAATAGTGGCGAGATTTCATGCGAAATTGAGTGGGTGGATGGCTAATTCCTTGTCATTAGCAGGAAGGGTGGTGTTGGTTAAATCGATACTATGCTCTCTCCCCGTCTATTTTCTGTCCATTTTTAGAATTCCAGCTTCTATGTTACTAAAACTTAATTCTATCATGGCTTCATTTCTGTGGGGGGTTCGACAGATAAGAAAAAAATCCATTGGGTCAACTGGAAGTTGGTTACTAAATCAAAAAAATTGGGGGGTCTAGGGATCCCAAACTTATCACTGTTGAACAGAGCTTTGCTAGGGAAATGGGTATGGAAGTTTGTATCAAAAAAGAGGCCTTGGTGGAAGAGAGTGGTGTGTGGTGTTTATAATCTGGATTCAAATTCCATTATGATGGGGAATTCCTGGACAGGTCGTGCATCGTGGATTTGGAAAGGTGTGGTTAAAAACTTCTTCAACAATGATGGTTTTGGGGATTGTGTTAGACGGAATATGCGTTTGAAGACAGGGAATGGGGTAGCTGTGGAGTTTTGGAATGACGTTTGGTTGGGGGAAGTTCCTTTGAAAGTTTTGTTCCCTAGACTTTTTGTTCTTTCTAACAATAAAGAGGGCAAAGTGATGGAGTTTGGGGAGAATAATGACTCGGGGTGGGTGTGGGACATCCAATTGAGAAGAAATTTGGCTGATTGGGAATTTAAGCAATGGTTACAGTTGATTGCTATGTTGAATAATATCTCCCTATTTATTGATGTAGATGATTGTTGGATTTGGTTAGGGAATGGAGAGGGCTGCTATACAGCAAAATCTTGTATCAACACCTTCATTGATCAAGACGAGTCTGGGCAGAATCAGTAAAATTGGGAAAAGCATATTTGGGTAGGGATTGCACCTCCAAGGGTGGAAAGGTTTGTTTGGCAAGTAGCGCATCAGAGATTGCCGGTTAAAGAGGAATTAGTGAAGAGAGGAGTGACAAAGATTATTGATCATCTATGTGTATTGTGTGGTAGTGAAGTGGAATCAGTTTCACATTTATTTCTGCATTGTAAGATAGTGTGGGGTCTGTGGTCAACATTTTTGAAGATGTGGAATGTGTCTTTGGTGATTCCAAAGCATATCATTGATTTTTTTATTTTGTGGGATGATTTAATGCCTAAATCTTCGATCTGGAAGTTCATTCCAAGGGCAGTGATGTGGTCAGTGTGGAAATGTAGAAATAAAATTATCTTTCAGAATGGAAAGTTGGATTTGGTCAGACTGTTTTTCATCATTCGATTTAGAGTAGCTTCCTGGTTTGTTGCAAGGTTCAACGATGTGGTTATTCCTTTAGATTCACTAGTAGGTGATTTAAAACTTGCTGAATGTTGATTTAGAAATGAAATTATCTTCTTGCTGGGTTCCTCCCCGGATGGGTTCTTAAAGCTAAATGTTGATGGAGCGATGGTATCGGGCTGGGGTAAAGGAGGTATTGGTGGTCTGGTTCGGGATACTAAAGGTGTGTTGCTTCAGTGGTTCTCTGAACCAGTAGGGGGAGGTCCTCCTATCATGGCAGAATTGTTGGCGATTAAGAGGGGGCTGTGTCTTATGGAAGAGCAAGGTTATGTTCTTAATAAGAGGTTTATTTTGGAAACTGACTCTATTAATGCTTTGAAGTGGATCAAGAATCCGGGTTTATGCCCCCCTTTGTTTCTATCCTTGGTGAACGATATAGTTGCGCTGTTGGCAAGAAAGGATATTATTATAAAGCATATTTTGAGGGCGGCAAACTGAGAAGCTGATAAACTAGCTAAAGATGGGATAGGGTGATTCTTGGTTTATATTGGTTATGTTGTTTTGTAGGAAATGTTATATTCTGTGTTGTAAGGTTGTTGAGTTAAGTCTTATGTTCTTTCATTTGGAGGTTTGGGAGTCTGTTAGGCTCTATTTATGTATTATTGTTTTTATGAATAAAATTCTCTAGGCACTCTTTTCCTTCTTCCTTAATCCTTCATGTTACTCACATAACATGGAGGATTAGAAGGGGTTTTTTTAATGAGGCCACTATTCTATCAAAAAAAAAAAGAATTCTTAATGTTGATGTGAGCAGGGTACACCCGTCAGTGAACGTGCTATTCCTGTTGCTATATTCGAAACTGATACTGGTTAGTTCTGTTATTTTTAAACTCAGTTCTCTTTTTAGTAGACTAAATGAAATAACTAATGGCTTCTAATTTACAGAAATAATGAAGTTCTATCTGCGCAAGTGGTGCAAAACTTCTTCAGACGTTGGCATACGCTCTATTGTTGATTGGTCGTACTACAAGCAACGGCTTAGCTCGGCAATTCAGAAAATAATAACTATACCTGCCGCAATGCAAAAGGTTTCTTTATTTGTTTAGTATCACTTACCAGAATAATCTCTCCATTTGTGGCCTGCTAAAATTAGTTGGATCTTTTAGGTTACAAATCCTGTCCCTAGGGTAGCTCATCCTGATTGGCTGCATAAAAGGGTTCATGAGAAGGAGGATAAATTCCGTCAAAGGAAGTTGATTGATATCTTCGGCTCATCAGTCAAAGATGATAAAGTGAAAAAGACTAGTGATGATGTTCTCGCTATTGACGTGGTTGGAGATCTAGAAGACTTCCAAAACAAAAGAGGAAATTCGAGGAAAGGACCTATACCAATTGTTCGTTGTTATGAAGTCCTTAAGGATCAAGGTCCAATCAAGGCAGCTGCCCAAGCCAATACAAAACAAAATCAAACTAATCATAGAGGAAGTGAGCAACATTTGTCATCAATATTGCAGCCAAGTGTTCAATTCACTGAAAATATTGACAGAAATGTCGACTATCAAGGATGGCTTGAACTGAAGAAGAGGAAATGGAAAGATAATCTGGAAAAGAGGAAGAGGCAAAGGTAGTTATTTTGTTGCTTATAGATATAGACTATTTTATTAGTTGCGTTGAGCTCCTGTGTACAACCGGTAATTTTTTGGGGGAAATAGATTACATATACTATGCTTATGTCACACATTGTCCTTTCTTATTATGTGATTCCATTAAAAGAGACTAGACACTAACTAGAACTTTTATAATGCAAAGTTGGTGAGATAGAGACACATGCTTGTTGCTACTTCTATCTAGAAGGGATGAATTCTATGGTTTAACCAAAACTTCCATTTTGTAACACATATTCCTCTGATTATATGTTTATAGAAATGCATATCATTGTTTTTGACATGTTTAATTTAAGAAAATTCATAATTCTACTAATTGGTTGGATGTTGCACTTCGAACTCATTGAATGTAATCTTGTTCAACAACTGTCAAGCATGCATTCTAGTTTCTGTTGTCTTTGTCAAGGATTATGGTAATTGTAGTGTATATATCAAAAAGTTTTTAATGTTGTAATATATTTTGTAAAGTGTCATTTTCTTTGGTAGGTTGAGTAATCTACGAACATCACATCATGCCGGTCGCACTTCTGAAATGCCAGGTGCCGTGGAAAACCATAAAGATGCCTCTGGAAGAACTGGTGTTGGTTCATATTTTAGAAGACATGAAGTATCACTAACTAATTCTTATTGGCAGGTAGTTTAGTTTTCTTCATGGAGAAAATGCAGCTGGAATGCACTTGATCACTTTATCTTCCTTTATGTTTCAGATTATACAGCTAATTCCAGGTTCAAAGAATGGCCAGTTTTCTGCTTGGGTTGTTGTTGAAGGAATTATGCTTAAGGTTCCTATTACTGTTCCGAGAGTGTTTTATTTGAACTCTAAAGCAACTATATCAGAAAATTTTCCTGGAAGACGGGTAAACAAGACTCTGCCTCATGGAAGGCAGAGCTATAACCTCTTCGAGGTAAGTATTTTGATGTTTCTTTATTTAATGTTATATTGTCCCTCCCTTTATTTATTTCACATCGATATGATTTTTGAGATTTTAATAGGTTATAATTGATGAAGATCAATTTAAGACGGAGAACAAGAAGCTTGTTGCTCTTCTTGCTGATCCAGAAATTGAGGTGCGCTATTCATTTTGAGGCACAATGCAGACATATAGATATATATGCTTTGGCTTCTTTTTGATGTTATGTTTATATGTTGGTTGTTCTCATTGTGTTAGTGAACTTTGAATTCATGCTGTACGTTAACTTTTTTATTTTGTGATCAAGACCCATTTTCCATTTTGTGTTATCTCAACTTGTTTACTTTTAACCAATCAATGACTTGTTAAAATGTATATTCTCTTTTGTGTCATGTTCTTGCTTATCAAAGGTAGCTTAAGGTGCCCGTTGTCTTGGGTCTGCGACACTATTCTTAAACCACCTTCCTAGAAAATAGACAATTTATTCCATGTGCCTATGACTTATAATGTATTTTGCATTGCTTATAGGTCATAACAATGTTCCTTTGATGATATTGCTCCTTCCCTTGTTAATACCTTGTTGGTTATCAGACACGTTATGTTTATATGTTCAACTAGGCTATGGTAAACTTGAGGAGTAATTTTCATTGATGAGTATGTTAGTATAAAGAACCTAGTTAGCAATGGACTGCAATACAATATGTTACAGAATTTTATATTCCAACGTCTAGCACTGTGATTTTGACAGAAGGCCCTTTATGGCATGTCAGCAATTTCCTGTCTAAACAAATTATTACAAATGGAACTTTTTGTTAGGCAAAGAGGTTCTTAACACACTTTTGATAGTTCCCTTTTGTTTCTTTTCTGATACATAATGAGCTAGAATGTCAATAATAATACTTTTGCATATTGTGGTTTTGCAGTTGCCACTTTTACCCTTGAAATCTGTTATACCTATGTCATAAAGTTGAACCAACTATGAGCTAGATGTTGCTTGAATTTAATTTGTACTCTTATAATCTCTTGTACGTTTGTTGGATGCCTATTTAAAGGCTTTATCATCTTTATCTCTAGTTGATTAGAATGGATTTCTTTGATCAGGGGATTTATGAAAGGAAGATTCCGTTGGAGTTTAATGCTATTCTTCAGCTTGGTTGTGTTTGCAAAGTAGATAAAGCCACCAAGAAACGAAATGCCCAGGATGGCTGGAGTCTGAGTGAATTGCACATGAAGACTACAACAGAGTGTGCTTATCTGGAGCAGGCAATCTCTTTCTTTTACCTGTATCATAGGTAATTACAGTTCGTTATTTCTTAGACTGAGGATTTATTATATAAAAGGAAATGTTGATTTAGTAGTTTGACTGCAACATGCCTTGTTAATTTTGATTAATTCAGAAAGCATGAAATTCACTGCTATTTTGAAATTTAAACTTTTTAGATGTTCCATCACCCAGAGGTAAAATATAATTTATGAGCTAAAGCAGTAGAAATTCAAGATTTTATACATTATGTTACAAGTCTTGGTGCCAAACAATTTCTTGTCAGACCACATATATCCCTTATTGTTGTGATCTGCAGAACATATTTATTCCTTGTAGTAAAGCTACCTATTTTTTCAAACAGAGAAAAATTGCAATAATGAATATACCTTTGAGTATGCATTTACGTTGTGGATATGCAGACTTTTACCAACTTCTAAATTCTAAATTTCTTTTATTCTATGATTTTGGACAGTCTATAGCTGAACCTTTAAAGTAGGAAAATTCAACACCAAATCGTCTTGAGCTTCTTTTTCATTCTGCCTGTTGTCTTACATTGTTGATTTTGCTGCTTCAGTATTTGTGAAGGCCGTGCCATATATGCTGCCTATTTTTCTTCATCAGGAGCAGTGCATGTGGTAGTAGTTAATCCTCACCGTGAAAATGAAAGTATATCTCCATATATCCTCGAGAAATATTTTCGGGAAGCTTGCCAGGTTTTGTCTATTGAACCACCAGCTCGTAACGGTATTTCTTTCAAGGCAAGTTTGTATTTTCTTACTGTAGCTTTCCTGCTCTATTTCTCGGTTATTTTTTCTCTTATGTTTATGTTATTCTTGTATTTACTTATCTCAGGTGAACTATGTTGAACATGTCAAGGAAGCTGAAAAAAATTTACAGTCTTACTAATTATACTTTATCTGTGATTTTTCACCAATTATTACAATTTGATTTTTAATTATTTTCTCCTGGAGGCTTGTTCTGATATATATATATATATAACTGTCTTTACTATAGTAGCTACATCTGACATTTTCCAGGGATAGCAGGAATTGAAAGTTCTGATATAAACTCTTACTTTCTTTTCTAACTTCAAGTTATTAAAGGATATTTTAGAATCTGCTGTAATTGAGTTTTTGTTAGGGAGTCTAGCATCTCTTTTGTTCAAACACAAAGCTGAATATTAAAAGACAATGCTACTACAAAGCTAATTCATTTTATGATCATATAGGTCTTCACTATACTTTTTACCTTCATAACTTTTAGGACATTGGTTAAAAAGGGGAAAAAAGATTGTGACAAGTAATTTGAGCATTTTTCATGACTAAGTACTAACCGTTTGTCTAGCTAAGAGGTTATCGTCTTGTGTACAATATTTTTCTGGTTTTATTTATTTCTTTGTTTAAACAAGCCTTCATCAATGAACTACTATGTTTCATGACAGGCATGAACATCAAGGTCCTATTCTTGCGGTCATTGAATGCCCAAATACTCAAATCATGAAGTCAGGTGTACGAGCTCTAGAAGATTTCCCTTGTGTGAGCATACCTTCAAATGCTCGTGATAATGATTATCAGGTAGCTGAGCTGTGGTTGAATGGCTATTTGATTTGCTTATTTTTCTTTGCACTTACTAATGCGGTGTGACATTGTCAATGTCTAAACTCTTTCTTTTTTTGCTGAATTTTCGTGATCAAGCTTCTTGTATGGCAACAAACAGCTGCAAAAATTGCGATGCAACGGTGTTCTGCATCATCTCAGTGGTTAAGTGAGAGGATCTCTCTCTCAAGATATGCACATGTAATACTTTTACATCCATGTCTACCTTACCTATTTTTAAATATTCTTGCTTGTGAACCTGGACGCTAATGTTTTAAATATAATTGAACAGGTACCCTTGGGCAATTTTGAACCTGATTGGCTATTATATACAGCAGACGTCTTCTATTCTAGGGCTTTGCGAGATCAGCAACAGGTTTTTCTATGGGTCCTCTTGATAGTTTAAATTCTAATATCATGGGATTTTGTTTCTACTGCACTTTTCCTTTTGGGTTTGGTGGTGCTAATACTATAGTTAAGATTACTGGTTGATGTCTTAGGCAAACCAAAGCCTTTTCCATTTTTTAATCATGCCTTGCATGTTTCATTATAGTTATCTCATTGAAACAAAATCAAATATTTATTTCTTAGGTACTTTGGATTTCCGATGATGGTGTTCCTGACCTAGGAGGCATTGGTGAAGAAGATACATGCTTTGTTGATGAGGTTAGTTTGACCCATGTTTAGGCAAGTAGCAGGGATAATCTTTGCCTTCTGGGTGCTCTACTGAATTTATGGCAGATTATTGTTAGTCTCTGGGACAGAGATTTAGTTCTGCTTGTAACTGGACTGTGGCTCCCCTTTTATCACTATGTGAAATTTCTCTGTAATGAATAACGTCTTTTCATCTAAATTGTCTTTGATGAATTTTATTTATTTATTTATTATTATTTTTTGGTGGGGGGATAGAGTGGTTTGACGGCCAATTTTATACAATGAACTTACTTTTTGGCTACTTTTAAATAGGTCTGTCAACCTGTTATCACATACCCTGGCGCATATCGAAAAGTTTCTGTAGAGCTAAAGGTCCATAACATCTCTACTGTTTGCTTCTTTTCTTATGCATATATTTTGCAACTTGTTACAAGGATGGCATAGTCTGGTTGTTAATCAAGGTGATTGTAAATAAGCAAGTTTATTGTCTGTATTCAGATTCATAACTTGGCTGTAGATGCTCTTCTTAAAAGCAACCAAGTGAATGAAATGGAAGGAGGAGCTTTATTAGGATTTGACCAAGACATGCATTCTGGAAATGAACAGTGTGGTTTTGATGAGGCTACCACATGTGCAGCTGTATTTCGAGTCATGAAACAACTTATACAAAGGTGCCTTGCTGATGCAGTTTCCTCAGGAAATGTGTTGCTGATGCAATATTGCAACATCTATATCGGTGGCTTTGCAGGTGGTTTCTTACCCCCACCCGCTTTTTTTCCTTTCATCATTGTTTCAGTTGATTATATATTTTTCATTCAATACAGCCCTCAGTCAAAGCTTCATGATCCAGCTCTTCACCGCATACTACACAAGGTATGTACCATTTGGATACTGGGAAATCTTTGTCCGTCAGTAAATATTTACGGGTGGGAAATTGGACTAAATGTCACTCTTGCCTGATAATCTTGGTTTCTTTGTGCTTGATCAAGTGCTTTATAATTTTTCTTCCAAAAGTAATATTAATTTGAGGAGATTTTTATTTATAAGCTCCTTATTCTTCCTCTTTCCCCCCTAGTTAGGCCTTTAGATAAGTTGCAATGAGCTTGTTACAATTAAAATCTGCTTTATTTATCGCCTATTCATAACTGCTTTCTGATAGTTATTCTTGGGAAAACGTGGTAATTCTTCTGGTTTGTGATTCTGCTCTTCATAACTGCTTTGTGATAGTTATTCTTGGAAACATTTGGTAATTCTTCTGATTTTTTATTTGTTGTTCATAAATGTCTTCTTTGTGTCTAACACGTGCAGGTCATGCAAAAGGTGTTTGCTTTGCTGTTGTCTGAATTCCGCAAATTGGGTGCGACAATTATATTTGCAGACTTCTCAAGGGTTATCATTGACACAGGAAAATATGATATAACAGCAGCTAAAACTTATTGTGATAGCTTGCTTAAAGCTCTGCAGAATAGGTTGGTGTTTGACTAGAAACTTCCGAGTAGACTTCAATTTTTTAATTTTTTTGGTGCATTTATTTATATATTTAAAAATTTTGCGGTGGATTGATAGAGAACTATTTGAATGGATTGAGCTTGAGCCGATTCACTTCTGGCAATCCTTGCTATTTATGGATCAGGTATTATTTCTTCTTATGGTCTAGTAATTTTGTTACAGCATGCATGATCTCTGTATGCTGTTATAATATACGATTAGAACCACTCTTTTAGAAATTATGTCTTGAGAATATAGCCTTAATAAAATTTCAATTTCTTCAGTCCGAACCTGATTAGTGTGAACTCTCCACGAGATTTTATTTGTTGTACCTGTATTTTCTACATTTTGGAAATTACCAATCTGATCTCAAAGTGGTAGGCTATTGGGTGGAGTTGTCCGCATGGTTGTCCTATAACTTGCATTGCTCATGATTTGCTGTATTTCACATGCCTTCAGTTGTATTGCTTTACTTTCCCGACTCTAATCCAAGTTCTGGAATAGAGAAACTGACTAATGAAATGGTTCAAGTGCTTTTGAATCATATTGCCTAAATAGTCTAGAACTCGAGATATTTGATGTTTTCTGTCTACTCATTCATGTAAATTTATGACGATGTTGTTTTGCCTTTGATAGTATAACCATGGAGGAATCTTGGCCGGATCTCATGAAAATTCAGAAGTGGATATTGTTTCAAACTGGAATATTGCTCGGTATTTACCTGAGAAGATTCAGGTATGCTAAATTCTGTACCCTTTTCCGCTCCATCTTATATACGTCGAGTATAGGGATATCATAATTATAATACAATTGAGTTTACTTTCTCCGTGTCAACAATGCCATACAAACCTCTGTTGCATTTTGTACTTCACTTGATTATCATGTCGACTTTTGGCAGGACCATTTTGTTTTAATTGTCTCCGAGTTTTTGCATACTCCTGGAATATGCACAGGAGCAAGCTGCAAATAGAACATCCTCATCGGATGGCAGCTTATGTACTCCATCAATCACAATTACAGCTGCCGAGGGTTTTGAAGCCCATATTGTAAAATATCTCAAAGATCAGGTTTGAATTGGGAAGATAGTGGTCAAATGTTGTTCAATGCTTTGACTTGTTTCTTGAAGTTTCTCAATGAGATTAATTTGTGTGCATGCTCTACAGATCAGCTCCCACTTCACAGAAAAACTTCTAGGAATTGTTCGTGATATTGTGCTTCATTTGAAAGGGTTGAGTGGATCTGGAAAAGTCGATCAACAAAGTGGGCATAAGGTTCCTCACAAAGGAGATGCTGCTCTAGAGTTTATTAAGCATGTCTGTGCCGTTCTGGCCCTTGACCACAGTGTTCAGCATGATGTTCTGGTAACAGCCCTTGCTAATTATCATGTTTCTAATTTTTTAATCGTGTGAATTAACTCAAATACTCAATTAATACTGTCATAAAATAAGTAATAGCCTTCATCACGTATCGTTTATACAGGTATTAAGAAAGAATCTACTGAAATATGCACACGTCAAGGAGTTTGCTCCAGAAGCCGAATTTCATGATCCATGTCCTTTCATTTTACCCAATGTGATTTGCAGGTATACAGATTGACGCTAGACATCTTTATATTTTGTTACACTCGTCTCGATGAGACTATTTAATTGCTTGTAACGGTTAATGTTTATGGATGGAAATGTGTTAATTTTGTAGTTTCTTAGATAGATGGTTCATCTATCTTCTTGACGAGAATTTGCAGTCTTTAACATGTAATTTTCTTAAGGGTGTTGAACATGCTTAAGAACATTCTTTATTTTGACTTGGATATCCGACATCTTATTGATATGCAAAAATTTTACCCTTTTTGAAACTTGCTGCTGATTTTGTACTACTGTGGCAGCTATTGCAACGATTGTAGAGACCTGGATTTATGCCGGGACTCCGCTTTACTGGCTGATGAGTGGTGCTGCGCTGTCCCCCAGTGTGGGCAGCCGTACGACCTGGAGGTGATGGAGAATGCACTTCTGCAAATAGTACGGCAAAGAGAAAAACTGTATCATCTGCAAGATCTAGTGTGCTGTAGATGCAGACAGGTGAAAGCGGTACATTTAGCGGAACAATGTGGGTGTGCCGGCTCTTATAAATGCAAGGAAGACGCAACCGAGTTCCGCAGCAAAATGCAGATATTCTTGAACATAGCCATTCGTAAAAAGTTTCAACTCCTCCAGGAGTGTACCTCATGGATCTTACAAGTCAACTAACAGTCATCGAGTTCAATATAATTCTTTGAAAAGGTACATGTATTTTTATTAGATTTGTTTACTAAAAATGTATGCGTTGGAAATGTATCACGCATGTAGTCCAAAAACTTAAAAATTGAGTCATTGGGGAAAAATTGTCTTGATTAGCTCGTTCTACTATTTTGAGAACAACTTAATGCCCCATGTAACCCGTAAATTCAATCTATGCATCACGACTAGGTCTAGTGAATTGTATTAAAACTTTTCTAAAACATTCTCGAATCCTTTTAAATTCAAGTAATGTAAAATATATCACAAGGCATCATGTCCATGTGTGAAATATCAAATAACTAGTATGTAGAAATTCATATAGCAGTAGTAAAGCATAATTTATCATATAACGAGTATAACAAAATATAGGTACATGTAACCCATAGAAGATAGAAACATTTCAACAAAAAGTATGGTACGAAATATGTTGACCCTTCAAGTGTTAGGTCTATGAATATCTATCTAAAAGTATTTGAGAGGGGAAATGTTTGGGGGTGTTTCAATAGTGCATAATAAATTACAATGGTAAATTTCATAATATAGTTCAGTAAAAATTTCTTAAAAGTGATAGTAATGTTTTCGATAAAATCATATAGTTACCCTATACTCTTATACCATATGTTGTTCCCTAGGCTCATTGGGCGTAGGAGCTAACCTAAGGGAGTATTTTGGGACTTTAAAGTCTATTCAAGGGAGTACCTTGGTGCCTAAGAGTTTGTCCAAGGGTTGTCTTAGGTCCGTAAGGATTTATTAACTTGATTAAAGCTAAACTTCCATATTTCAGCCTACTCAGATAATATCTATATAAAACAAATCCAGTAGCAACGATAGTTCCATGATCCATAAGTCATACACATTTATATTTTCCAGTAAAAACATATAACTATAGATCATGTATCAGGTTCGCATAATCCATAATCAGTAATTCAAGGAAACATGATATCTATCAAGTAAAACATCTATAAATCAATTCAGGTAAACTATCATATTTTAGAACATATCAAACACGTGTCTGGAGGAGAAATGACAAAAAAAGATGAAGAAGAAGGATTTCGATATTTTCTTTTTGGTTAAAATTACACAGGTTCTTTCACCTCGTTCATTGCTGCTCTGTCTGTTCGGCAATATCAAACATGATTTAAATAAATATAATTAAATTAATATTAAAAATTATAATAATATTAAGGGTTAACTACTTCAAATACCACCAACTTTTAAGTGTTGACTCGTTTATACCACAAACGTTTCAATTTTGCCAATTTTAGCATTAACGTTTATTTTTTAAGTACAATTATATCACTTCGCCGTTAATGATTTAACAACACAATGACATGGCAACGACATGCCATGATGTCGTTGACTTGGATAACTTATCTAAACGAAATCGTTTTGACGTTTCTATTTTAGTGCTCAAAGGACTCAAAATGATGTCGTATTGCTTGAACCCTAATTTTCCTAAGGACTAAACTCAAGTTTTCCCATTATTTTTTCTCTTCTTCCTCCTCGTCTTCATCTGCATCTCATTTTCCATGGTTTTCTTGACAACCAAATGGTCACCATCTGACATCTTTTGGATTCCTCGTCGTTTCTCTCGTCAGGACGACCATATCCTTTTTGGGTCACCATCTTCACTATGATATTCATCGATAAATTCGAGAACTTGTCCTTCATTTGAACGACTTCGACGGTTTTATTTGCTTTAAAATCGGTGCATATGTTTCTGATGCACTCATTGGCAAATTTTGGATCTTTATTCTTTGATCCTTGTCAATTATCTTGGTATATATATATCATCGTAATGTCATGCATGTTTAACTAAATTTCAAATATAATATTTGAACATAATCAATAAAATGTGATTTCAACCACTGATCGGTAGGAAATGATAATCACGATGCTGACGACTTTACTTTCACTGCTGCAACCTTCGCTGTAAGCTAACAAAGAACTATAACTCAGCCAATGTATACCATACAACAACTCCCAACTCGGCGTTTTGGTTATCGAGATATTTTGGTTATCCATAAAAAAAGGCAGAATCAAACCTTGTTGTGTTCCCTTCATCGTCGATCAATTCGATTTGATGATCGAAAAAGGGCGAAAAGAAAACAAGAGTTTTTACAATTTATACTGCACCACTCAAACAATCATCTTGATGATCGCTCAAAGCACTCAAACGATCATCTTGACGATCGCTCAAACTATTGTGGCTTATATCCAAAACGATATTAGTTGGGCATTAGGGCTTGAGATCCCAATGCTTTGCTCGGCCGTCGCCATTATTTTGTTCTTCATCGGAGCGAGATTTTTTGTATATATATAGATCCCGAAGGAAGTGTTTTCACCAGCATTGCGCAAGTGTTCGTCGCTACAAACAGAAAACTCAAACTTCATCTTCTGATAATGGAGTCGATGGTCCGTTGAGGAGAATTTCTCAGATTTGGCGATGAACAAAGGCGTTACTGTCAGATGATGACCGTTTGATTGTCGAGAAAAATATGAAAAAAGAGATGCAGATGAAGTTGATGAGGAAGAAGAGAAAAAAATAATGGAAAAATTTGAGTTTAGCCCCTAGGAAAATTAGGGTTCAAGCAAAACATCATTTTGGGTCTTTTGAGCATTAAAACTGAAACATCAATACAATGTCGTTTAGATGAGGCATCCACGCTAGTGACGTCACAACATGCCATTGTCAAGTCATCGTGCCGTTAAATCATTAAGGACAGAGTGGTATAATTGAACTTAAAAATAAATGTTAGTGCTAAAATTAAAAAAAAATAAAATTTTGGTGGTATAAACAAGTCAACGCGTATTTGAAATAGTTAACCTAAGATTAATATAGATTAAGAACATACCATGCCCATTAAAAGGACAACAGTTTAAGATTTCTCCATTGTCATGATCATATTATTTATTATTATATGGGAAAACGGGACCCACTTCCAGAGCAACGTTGCGTCATTATGTTTCGATTTGGCCGTCTCCATTTGGGTCCAAATTGGAGTCCCAACTCAACTCTCAATCAACCATGATTATTAAAAGGACTTATAAAACAAAGCAGAGGGCAAAATTAACGTAGCTTAACGGCTAAGTATATATTATAGTTCAGGAGCCAATGGCCATCCGAAATTGTTGTGGCCGTTCAATTTATGCTTTTTATGGTAAAATTGAATTCACACCGTTTATTTAATTTTAACGCCTAATATCCTTATTTTATTTAATGGACCCAAAATAAAGAATCCCCCCCTTTCTTTCTGTTCTTCCCCCACAAAAAAAGATCGATTCCTTTCTCCCTTCCCTTTCCTCCTTTACTTTCTCTTTCTTCTTTCTCTTATGATTATAAGAAGATTTCGGTTTCGTATCTTGCTCTGAAACTCTCGTCTGAGGTGAATTTTCTGTCCCTCTTTTTTCTGGATCTATGGCTTTTTATTTGTTTTCCTTTTGTTGAATGTTTTTGTTTTTTGGTATATAGGAGATTGAAAAAGATATGGCGGAAGAACACAGATGTCAAGCACCACAATTATGTGCAAACAACTGCGGATTCTTTGGAAGCCCAGCGACTCAAAATCTCTGTTCTAAATGTTATCGCGATCTTCAGCTCAAGGAACAACAATCTTCCTCTGCCAAACAAGCGTTTAATCAAACATTCGTTCCTTCTTCGTCGTCTACGTTGCCATCTTCATCATCGACCGAATCTACGTTGCGGGTTTCCTTGGCAGCGGCGAAGGAGGAACCATCGGCGGCAACAAAGCAAGCGGCGGTGGTGGAAGAGGAGGTTCAAGCGAGACCAAACAGATGCTTGAGTTGCAAGAAACGCGTGGGGCTCACGGGGTTCAAGTGCAAGTGTGGGATGGTTTTTTGCGGGATCCATAGGTACCCTGAACAACATGCTTGTACTTTCGATTTCAAAGGGATGGGAAAACAACAAATCGCCATAGCTAATCCTCTTATAAAGGGTGAGAAGCTTCAAAAAATATAAATAAAAAATTATTGAAGAAGAAGAAAAGGGGAGGGGGTTTCTGTCTGTCAAATCTGCAGAATTCGGGTCGTCGATGAACTGATGAAATTTAGATTGATCATTCAACTAGTAGAAAGTATTTTAGATGGTTGTTATCGTTCCTATATAAATGGTACTTCTTTTATCGTTCTTATATATATATATGTCAATGTTGGTTGTTACATTTGAATTTTGATTAATATTTTCACTAATCCAGAAATAAAAATAAGAGATTAATAAGTTAAAATTTTATTTTACATTTAAATGGGTGGAGTTTCAATTTAATGATGGAGATGTTTTGAAAATTTTAGAAGAAAGATAAAAATTCATAAACTTGTCTTTTATTTAAAAATAAAAACTAGGTGGAGATCTAATAGGTAAATTCCATGAACTTCACTTGGTTTCCTAATTTTTAAAAATTAGGTGAATGATCAAATAGGTAATTTATCTTAAAATTTGAAAATGAGTGATCAAAACATTATCATAAATTATGATTAAAAATAATAATTAGATGATTAAAACAAAAATTAAATAATAGGTAATTGTAAAATAAGTAATTTATTCCAAAATTTAATTTATCTACTTATATTTATATTATTATTTTTAAGAATTTAATTAAATAAAATATCATCAATTGATCTAATACTGATTTTGTAAAAAAATTAAAATATTTTCATTAAAATATATTATTTTTAATAATTTTTTACTTACTACTAATATTTAAATAAAAAAGTAAAATTTTCTACTTCAATAAATAAATAAATATGAATAAATTTAGGGTAATTACACGAGTGGCCATTCAACTATTGTCTCCTTTTATTTTAACCATTGATATTTTGATTTTGTCAATCAGACTAGTCAACTATTTAAATACTTCAATCAAGTCACATGTCTTTAGCATTTAACATAACATAGTAGGTGACGTGATAGTTGAAAATTTTTGGTATATTTACATAATTGGTCTCTATTACTTATATATTCTATCAATTTGGTTTTTATCACCTTC